GGGAGCCCAGCCAAAACCAGCTATGTCCAGCTTAAACCAGGGTGGTCAAGCTGGTTTTAGCTGGTTTTAGCTGGTCATTTACCAGCCTGACCAGCTAAGACCAAGCTGGAAATGGCTGGAAACCAGCCTGGAAATGGCCAAAATCCCTCTAAAACCAGCCTGGTCAACCAGCTAAAACCAGCCAACCAGCCTAGGCTGGTTTAAGCTTTTTTTCAGTAGGGAACACTAGCGTAAAAATGAAGCCCAGAGAGCCATCTGCTAATAAAAACTAGCCATCTGCTGTTAAAACTGGCTTAGAGCACTATATTCTGTTAAAAACTATTCACCTGATGCTAAAAACTAACCTAGAACATCATCTGCTGTTACAAACTAGCCTAGCGTGCCATCTGCTGTTAGAAACTAACCTAGACCGTCATCTGCTGTTAAAAACTAGCCTAGAGCACCATCTGCTGTTAAAAACTAGCTTACAGTGCCATCTGCTTTTACAAACTAGCCTAGAGCACTATTTGCTGTTAAACTAGCCTAGAGCACCACCTGATGTTAAAAACTAGCCTGTAGCGCCATCTGCTATTAAAAACTAGCCTATACCGCCATCTGCTGTTGCAGACTAGCCTAGCATGCCGTCTGCTGTTAAAAACTCATGTGACATAATTAAAAGTCTTTTTAGTCATATTATTTCTTTGAAATAGCTTTTATTTGATTATGTATACCCCTAAATGGGCGCGGGAAGGTTGGGGGACGGGCTCGCGCCTTTGATGTGGGAGAGCCGTTTATGACGGGCAGCATGGTGGTGCAGTAGGTAGCACAATCGGCTCACAGCAAGAATGCCACTGGTTTCAGCCCCAGCTGGGTCAGTTGGCATTTCTGCGTGGAGTTTGCATGTTCTCCTGGGTTTCTTCCTGGTGCTCCGTTTTCCCCCACAAGTCTAAATACATGTGATATAGGTGAACTGGGTAGGCTAAATTGTTCGTAGTGTATATGTGTGAATGAGTGTGTATGGATGTTTCCCAGTGATGGGTTGCAGCTGAAAGGACATGCGCTGCGTATAACATATGCTGGATAAGTTGGCGGTTCATTCCGCTGTGGCGACCCCAGATTAATAAAGGGATTAAGCTGAAAGGAAAATGATGATCAATGATTATGTATAAAAGTTATTAATTTAATTTAAATATAAATAAAATGTTTATTTTTCATTTTATGTTTAGTTTAATTTTAATTTAAAGTTATAAAAATTGTTTCTTGTTATTATTGTTAGTAGTTGTAGTATTAGTAGTGTGTGTGTGCACAGTAGTGTGTCGTTGTAAAATGAGAAGCAAAAAATGTGAGTTTTTTAAATTTTAAGATATTCATTTATTTTAATTCATTCATTTATATCAGCACTGTCGCCTTACAGCAAGAAGGTCGCTGGTTCGAGTCTCAGCTGGGTCAGTTGGCATTTCTATGTGGAGTTTGCTCCACAGCCCCCACAGTCCAAAGACATGCGCAATAGGTGAATTGAATAAACTGGCCATAGTGTATGAGTGTGAATGAGTGTGTATGGGTGTTTCCCAGTGATGGGTTGCAGCTGGAAGGGCATCCGCTGCATAAAACATATGCTGGATAAACTGGCGGTTCGTTCCGCTGTGGCGACCCCTGATGAATAAAGGGACTAAGCCGAAGAATAACGAATGAATGAATGGTTGCATTTACGTGCTGATTGTGTTTGAACTTGCTCAGCAATGACTTTCACTTTCACTCACTAAATGAGTGGTTAAATAAAGCCAGAATGAGTAAAAGCAGAACAGAGACGATCATGGGATTTTGTGAAGACTGACATCTCCAGTCTGCACTCACAAGCCAATTATCTGAAAGGTCGGATGAGAGCTGAAGGAAGCGCGAGCAGATGAAAGTGTTCATACTGATAGTTAAAGCTGAGGAAGATGTTCATGAACACACACACACACACACACTCACTCAGATCACAGACTGACTCAAGGAAGAAAGGTCAATGCTGGGTCCTAATCAGATCTATCGATGAGATTCTGCCGACTGAAGGCGGAGACTAATCAAAGAGTGACATCACTGATGAGTCACGAGCACAAAGGCCAAACCACTGATCACTGTAAACTGCATTTTAACTACACTTTTATGAAGGAACATCATACAACTGATACACTTGTGTAGAATATGGTGTAATAATAGTGGTCATTCACACAGAACTCAAGGTGGCTCATTGGTTCGCTCTGTCACCTCACAGCAAGAAGGTGGCTGGTTCGAGCCTTGGCTGGGTCAGTTGGCATTTCTGTGTGGAGTTTTAATGTTCTGCCCGTGTTGGTGTGGATTACCTTCGGGTGTTTCGGTTTCCCCCACAGTCCAAAGACATGCAGTACAGGTGAATTGGCTGAATTAAATTGACTGTAGTTTATGTGTGTGAATAAGTGTGTATGGGTGTTTCCTAGTGATAGGTTGCAGCTGGAAGGGCATCCGCTGTGTAAAACATATGCTGATAGTTGGCGGTTCATTCTGCTGTGGCCACTCCTGTTTGATAAGGGAACTAAGCTGAAAATAAAATGAATTAATTAATGTATGAGTTTGTGTGTGATTTCAAGAGTGTATGGGTGTTTCCCAGTACTCAGTTGCAGCTGGAAGGGCATCCGCTGCGTAAAACATATGCTGGAATAGTTGACGGTTCATTCCGCTGTGGTGACTCCTGTTTGATAAAGGGACTAAGCCAAAAATAAAATGATTAAATGAATGAATGTACGAGTTTGTGTGTGAATTCAAGTGCGTATAGGTGTTTCCCAGTACTGGGTTGCAGCTGGAAGAGCATTGGCTGTGTAAAACATTCTGGAATAGTTGGCGGTTCATTCAACGGTGGCGACCCATGATAAATAAAGCCGCCTTTCCACTGAACACAACATTTAGACACGACTGTCGGAATACACCCCCTTGTGGCAGTCGCACAGAATTTTCAGTTCTGACGCGCACCATGAGAGAGAAGCTGTTCTCGCAATGTCCGAATTAAAGGAGTGCAAAGGCAATTCTCCGTGGTTGAATGAATAAATACTAGAAACTCAGACCGCTAAAAATATTGGAGGGAATGTTGCTTAAGCCGCCTTTCCACTGCAAACGACAATTGGGCACGACTGTCGGAATACGCCCCCTTGTGGCAGTCGCACAGTTTTTTCAGTGTTGTCATGAACCATGGAAGAGAAGCTGATTCTCACGGTGTCCGAAATAAAGGCGTGCAAAAGCAAGAGCCTTTATTCTCTGTGCGTTTACATGGTTTAATGAATGAATGAATACTAGAAACTCATAGACCGCTAAAATTTGGGGGGGAATGTGGAGACAACATTAAAAATATATATTTTTATTACTTTCTTACTTAAATTTATGAATAGAAATGTTTATATATATATATATATATATATATATATATATATATATATATATATATATATATATATATATATATATATATATATG